CGGCCGGGGCTGGAGAGGCTCAGCGCAGCTCGATGCCGCGCTCCTCGCACACGGCCACCAGCTCAGGCTGCTTCTTGTTGTCCACGAAGAGCGCCTGCACGCGAGGGGAGGTGCGATGAGCATTAGGCGGGGGGAGGGGCGTGTGGCGAGGGGGGCGTCTCGCGCCTTCAAGCTCGGGGCGGCCCCCTCCTTGAGGGCGGCGGCCAGCGCCATGCAGCCCTCGTCGCCAATCTTGTTGTGGTCGAGAAAGAGCCTCTCGAGCCGCGGCGCTGCCCCGCTCGCGAAGACCTCCGCCAGCTGCGCCGCCTCCGCGTCGCCCCAGCCGAGGTTGTAGTAGACCAGCTTGGTCGCCTTGCCAAACTGCTCCTTGAAGGCGGCCTCGTACAGCCGCTTCACCAGCGGCTTGTCGTCCTTGCCGTTGGTGAAGCTCTTCGACTCCAGCTCCGCCGCGAAGGCAGACGGCAGCAGCGGAGGGCGCCGGCCGCCGTCCTGGGTGCAGTCGATGGCGAGGCTGTAGCAGTCGTACTCCGTGCCGGCGCGCATCTTGCCGAGGTCGAGCGAGAGGAAGCCAGCCTTTGTCAGGCCAGCCCAGCTCTGCTCCGTGAAGCACCAGCCGCGGTCAAAGTACTTGGCCACGTTGGTGCCCTCGGCCGGGTCCTCCGCCTTGTGGCCGTCCGGGAAGGAGGTCAGCCGCAGCACGCGTGTGTACTTGTGGGAGTAGAGCGTGCCGAGGCAGCCCAGTCCCTCCTTGAAGAGCGCGTTCTGCTCCTCGGTGCGCAGGACGCCGTTGGGGGGGTCGGGGTGCTGGTGCAGCGAGCCGAAGTCCCAGAAGACGCCGAGCCGCGGGATGAGGTCGGGACGGCTGAGCAGGGCCTTGAGCGCCCTCGCGACGCGGGCGAGGTTGGCTCCGCGCGGGTCGGGGTGGTCCTTGGTCAGCCACGGGTAGGAGAGCGCGGCGACGGGAAGCCAGCCCGCCTTGCCGGTCGCCTCGACAAGGTCGGCGAGGGAGAGGAAGGCCTCTTTGGGCAGCGCCTGGCGGTGGGCGAGGACGCCCCCCGCCTCGGCGTGGCTGATGATCCACTGCGCGTCGAGGAGGGCGACGGCGCCGCTCGCGAGGACCGGCTCGAGGTCGCCGCCGCCCTTCTTGCGCCACAGCTCCAGCTTCTCCTCGCTCACGCCGAGATCGGTGGCGGAGGGGAGGGCGGCGGCCGGCTGCGTCGGCGCGGCGGTGTCGGCGGGCGTCGGGGCGTCGAGTTCGACGGCGGGAGGGCCGGGCAGCTCCTCGGTCGGGGCCTCGACGCGGCTGGAGAAGCAGCCCATGTAGGGATCCCTGTGGAAGGCGATCGACTTTGACAAGGACACAGGTGGAAAAGAATTTTACACCGAAACTCCCTCACGACACTGGCCTTAAAATCCCTGTGTGGTGGCGGCGTGCCGTCCTCCCATCCCTCCCTTGCGTCTTTGTTTTCTTTCTTTACACTAGACGTTCTGTACTCTCCTATCCGGCAACCGGCGAGACGCTGCCGTGAGCCAGCCGCTCTTGCGGCAGCCGCCAGCGGAGGCCGAGCGCGTCGCGTATCGATCGAGCTCGCGATCCGGGCCGTGGAGCCCACGAGGAAGACTTCGTCTGCTGGGACGGAGTCCCGACGCTCGCTGCGTCCGCCGGAACTGGGGTCTGCACACCTTTCGTGGCCGCGACCCGCAGTGGTCTGTCCGGTTGCAGGCGAACCGAAGCCGCGCGAACCGAAGCCGCGGTCGCTTCCCTCTCCCTTTTTGTCCGCAAGCGCACGTCGTCAAGCACGGGCCGAAAGCACAGGCTTTGCGCTGGGCATCGCCACCACAGCAGCATGCGCAAACGCCGCACCATCCTCGTCGTCGGCGACTCCTTCTGCGACGTCAACGCCGGCCCACTGCCGCGCCTCCCAGAGTGGGGCCGCAACGTCGTCTCGCCAGAGCGGATCCTAGCCCAGCCAGGCGGAGCCGCGCTCAACGTCGCCTGCAACCTGCAGCGGCTCCGAGGCGACACCGCTCTCTACTCGGGCATCGGTGAGCCGCTTCCACGCAGTCCGACTTCACACGGACACCACCGACTCGACAGGCGGATCGACTCTCCTCCTCTCACACGGTTCATCTCTGGCCCAGGCCGCGATGCGTTTGGCGACTTGCTGCGCGTCCACCTCGACTCGCTGGGTGTTCGGCTGATCGAGGCGCGTTCGGGACTGTTGTAGACACCTGCCACCAAATGATGTGTGCTTCCCGGGCAGGCTTAACACTGGCCTGGGACGTAGCGGTGGATGCCGGCTAGACGCTTCGGCACTGCCCTGCTTCGACATTGCCCGGCTAGACGCTTCGACATTGCAACGCGCTCCTTCAGGCGGACTCGGACGAGGACGCGCCGACCGGCGTCTGCATGGTCCAGATTACCCGAGATTACCCGAGATTACGGCGTCTGCATAGTCCGAGGATCGGGTATCTCGGGTGATCTCGGGTGATCTCGGCTAATCTCGGGCACGCAGCACAGGTCCTCTCCGGCCCAGACGACCGCGCCTTCTGCTCCCACTTCGGCGTCTCGGACGCCTTTGACGCGTCCGCCCTCGTCGCCGACGGCGCCGCCTTGCTCCGGCGGTTGGGGCCTTGCCATGTCCACTGCGCGGGCTACTTCTCCTGCGCGGCGCTGCGGAAGACTCTCCCTCGGCTGCTGCTGGCGGCGCGAGAGGTTGGCGCCACGACAAGCCTCGACACTAACAACGACGCGAGCGGACAGTGGGGCGCCGTGGACGGCCTGTGCGATGCTCTCTTGCCGCCGCTAGACTTCTTCACGCCTCTGGCTGTGAACAGGCGCCGTCGACGGCTTGTGGGACGCACTCTTGCCTCTGCCGGATCTCCGCGAAGAGGTGTGAGCAGCGCCTCTTAATAATTAATTAGCTCTGAGATGCACACAGGTCCTCTTGCCGCTGCTCGACCTCTTCACACCGAACGAGCTCGAGGCGTGCGCCGTCGCGGGCGTGACTAATAATTAATTAACCCTACCTATTAGTGATTAATGAACGAGCTCGAGGCGTGCGCCGTCGCGGGCGTGCCGGCCGGCGACGTCGAGGCCGCCCTCGCCCGGCTGTCACGGCAGGTAAATTAGTGAACACTAATAATTAATTAGCTCTCGCCCGGCTGTCGCGGCAGGTAAATTAGTGAACACTAATAATTAATTAGCTCTCGCCCGGCTGTCGCGGCAGGTAAATTAGTGAACACTAATAATTAATCAGCTCTCGCCCGGCTGTCGCGGCAGGTAAATGAATGCATTTAGTTAATTAATGATTCGCTAATGACTGCTGAAAAATTAATTAGCTCTCGCCCGGCTGTCGCAGCAGGTAAAGCAAGACTGATTACTCTTTAATAAGCTCTCGCCTGGGTCGCGGCAGGTAAACACTAATTAGCTGTCGCGGCAGGTCGGCGGCAGCGTCGTCATCACGCGCGGGCGGGACGGGGCGAGATATACCCGAGATGTACCCGAGATATACCCGAGATACACCCGAGATAAACCCGAGATATACGCGAGATATACGCGAGATACACGCGAGATATACCCGAGATACGGGGCGCGACGGCCGGCGGTCGGTCGACCCGAGATCTATCCCGAGATGTACACGAGATCTATCCCGAGGTGTAGGCGCTTGTCGGCGGGCGGTCGGTGGAGACGAGAGCTGTCTCCGCTCCGCCGGTCGTCGCTCGCGACGCGGTGGGCGCTGGCGACGCCTTCAAGGCCCCGCCCGCGCCATGACTAGTCAATTAATGTTTACTTCATTATTCATGAACGAGTTGGACGCCTGGCCAGGCTGGCCTGCTCGCTTGCTTCGTCTCTGGAGCAGACCTGGCCGAGGCGGCGCAGTATGGCTGCCTCACCGGCGCTCTCTGCGTCACGACACGCGGCGCCTGCTGCACCCTCCCGCCGCTACACCTCGGCTGCATCTCGGCTGCATCTCGGCTGCATCTCGGCTGCATCTTGGCTGCATCTCGGCTAGCATCTCGGCTGCATCTCCCCTGTCCAGGCGCCTGCTCGGACCCTCCCGACGGGGCGCGTGTCGCCGCCTTCGCCGCGCAGCATGGGCTCTCCTCGGTCGCTTCCGCCCTCCCGGCTTGCGGCGGCTTGAGCTCTGCTGCAGACGGCGACGGGCAGCAGCAGGAAGAGGGGAGGAGCGAGCGGGAGGAGCGGGCCGCTGTGCCTGCTGATGACTGATTGTTCGTAGTCCATGGATGGTTGATAGTTGGTAGTAGGAGGGGTTCCTGTGGTGGACCTTTGCGCTGTTGTGGTTGGGAGGTACCTGGCCGTCTAGAGCAGAGGCAGCTGTCATGTTTGATGATGCTCGGTGAGTAGTTGCTGATTACCGTCAGGCACCTGGCCGTACCAGAGCATTCTTCAGGCCCAGGCCTACTACGAGGCAGAGCTGCCCGGCCTCTCCCATTAGTTAGTCAATCAATAACTTTAATCGACTAACCACGAATTCGAGGCGGAGCTGCCCGACCTCGCCTTTCTCGTGCTGATGACCTTCTCGTGGCCGCTCGTCGCAGGGCACGCGGCGCAGGTCCTCTCGGGTACTCTCGGCTAATCTCGGGTAATCTCGGCTGATCTCGGGTAATCTCGGGTGATCTCGAGCACGCGTCGCAGGTCCTCTCCTGCTTAGATAACTAATTGCTTGCTGGATTCATAATTAACGAAGTAATCCGCAGGTCCTCTCCGGCGCCGCAAAGGCCGCCCGCTTCTCCGCAAAATCATCGTTGTCTTATTTAGTAATGAGTGATCACTAATTATGGATGAGTCAGGCCGCCGGCTTCTCGCGGCGCGTCCTCGGCGCGTGTTGCGTCAACGCCGCCGTCGGCGTCGCCTTTCTGCTGCAGGACGCGGCGCCTCTGTTCACACCTCTGCTTCACCTCCTCTTCACACCTCCTCTTCACACCTCTGCTGCAGGACGCGGCGCCTCTGTCGCCCGGCGGCCGGCGAACCGCGATGACTATCCTCGCGGCCCTCGTCGCGCTGGCGCGGCTGCTGCGCTCTCGAGCTTCTCTCGGAGATCGCCCCGGAGATCGCGCGAGATCGCCCGAGATTAGGCGCAGCTGCTGCTCGAGCCGGCCTTGTTCGGCCTCGCCACGTGCTCTCCCCGCGGCAGCGCCACGCAGGCGAGGATCTCCCGAGATCGCCCGAGATCGCCCGAGATCGCCCGAGGTCACCGGAGATGAGGCAGTGCCACGCAGGCGATGATGGTGGGGAACGCGTCCGCCGGCGTCGTCGTCGTCGCGGCCAGCGCGCTCACGCGCCTCGCGGCGGGAGGCGCGGCGCCGTCTGGCGCGCAGCTCGGCATCGCTGCGCGCGCCTTCTTCGGCCTGCAGGTGGCGTCGAGCGCCGCGTCGTGCGCGCTCTACCTCGTGGCGCTGCGCCGCTCGCCGCGCCTCCTCGCCGCTGCCCGAGGAGCGGGGCGACGAGGAGCCGCCTCGAGCGCCTCTGCGATTGGCTCGCCGCTGCTGACGCCGGACGTGGCGCGCGGCGCGGGCGAGGCGCCGCCACGCTCGGGGTGGCGAGAGAGGGGCGCTGCGGTGCGCGCCGCGGCAGGCGCGGTCTGGCTGCCGGCGGCTTGCCAGGCGCTCTGCTTTGGCACCACGCTCGCCGCTTGGCCGAGCATCCCCGGCGCCGCGTGCGTCGAGGGCGGCCTCGCACGCTTGGGGCAGGGCTGGTGGTTCACGCTCGTGGTGCTCGTGTACAACGTCGTCGACTTCGCCGCCCGGCTGCACCTCCCCCTCCTGCAGCGGCTCGCCGCCCGCGCTCGCCCGCGCTCTTGCCTCGCTGCGTGCGCCGCCCGCACGCTGCTGGTGCCGCTCATCTACGCGTGCGTCCGCCCGCGCCTTGTCCGCGGCATGGGCGGCAACGTCGTCTTGCTGCTCGCCACGGCGCTGCTCGCGCTGAGCAACGGCGTCCTCGCCACCGCGTCGATGATGCAGGTCGCGCGACTCGCGCCGGAGGGGCTGAGGGAGGAGGGGGTCTACGTCGCCGTCGCGGGAGTCTACTTCGGACTCGCGGCGGGCGCGACCGTCAGCTGGGCGGTGGGGCGGGCGATGCAGCTGCCGCTCGCGTGTGGGTGAGTGTACGGCTGTGTAGTGGTAAAGCTGTAGCAGATTTGGGGGGGATTAGAGCATAGAGGTATGATGTAAGGTAAGGTAAGGTAAGGTAAACTTCTCCACACACACGGAGGTGTGCATAAACCAGACACCACTATGTTATATCATAGGATATAACATACTGAGATACCAGGCTCTTCCCTGGCCATATCAGCTATCAAGAAACCGTCTGACTTCTAGGAGGAGGAGCTCTGTATTCTGCTTTTTCGACATATCCCACAGATCACATCCGGGCCAATGGAATATCGGTCCAGACGCTCTGGGTTCTGGTTTTTCGAGGTGTGAACGATCTCCCGGAGGGGTCATTCCGCCGGAATGACCCCTCATTAACTAATCGGATTCCGAATGGGTCGAACGGGAGTACTAAGACAGCAGCATGTTCTGGGTGGGAGGAACCCTTGGTAACGTTCTGGTTTCTGGTTTCTGCGATATCGAGTGCGATGGAGCGCCCCTCGTTGCGTTCACCTCTCAACGGCGACGAGAAGCGGCTCACTACGGTGCCTCAGCGCACAGTGTCGCTCCTCTGTGAGACTGACGCAAAACAGGCCAGCGTTCAGTTGCTCAAGCGCCAGGCACTCGGCGTTTGGCACGCCGACGCCCTGTCCGACGTTGAGAATGCCATTGGCGACCTGCACACTTCTGGCCAACGACCTGGTCGAAGGACCCTCGCAGCCGTGACTACGACATGCAGCGCCTCGGACGGTCCAAGCGGCTCGACATGCACCTGACCGCGCTGCGCAGACGGCGCGCTCTGGCAGACAGAGCAGCGGCCGCCCAGGCGGTCGCTGCTCCGCCCCGTCCGAGTCCGTCCGCCCGCGCGTGCCGCTGCCGCCGCCGCCGCCGCCGCCGCCGCGGCGCTTCCCCGCGCCGCCACGCTTCCCTGCACCTGACCGCGCTCGGCAGACAGAGCAGCGGCCGCCCAGGCGGTCGCTGCTCCGCCCCGTCCGAATCCGTCCGCCCGCGTGTGCTGCTGCCGCCGCTGCCGCCGCTCCGGTGCCCGTGTGTCGTGAGAGTAATGCTTTGTGTATGGCAGGCACCCGTGTCGCATGTTATGTGTGTGGACTTGTCGCACTTGAGCCTCTATGATTAGTAACAAGTAAGTAGACCGTCTGCGCAGCGCTCTCGGAGAGGCGCTTTGTACTCGGGTTTGGATGGTAGCGGGGGGCCCCGCCGGAGGCTGGTTACTGATTTCTTGGCCTTCCTTGACTCCCCTCTCTGCAAACAGGACCATCACCTGCGCAGCTGCCTTGCCTAATTTTGATCTCCTCGTAGCGTACGAAGTGCGTCGCCCTCGTGCCTCGTTTCGGCTCATTCGATGCTGCAGGCCAGTCGAAGTTACACTGCGCCGCGACGCTGTCAAAGTCGTCCCCGCTCTCGTCGTCACTTCCATCCAGCTGCGTCCCCCCTAACCCTAACCCAGGGTTAGGGTTAGGGTTAGGGTTAGGGTTAGGGTTAGGGTTAGGGTTAGGGTTAGGGTTAGGGTTAGGGTTAGGGTTAGGGTTAGGGTTAGGGTTAGGGTTAGGGTTAGGGTTAGGGTTAGGGTTAGGGTTAGGGTTAGGGTTAGGGTTAGGGTTAGGGTTAGGGTTAGGGTTAGGGTTAGGGTTAGGGTTAGGGTTAGGGTTAGGGTTAGGGTTAGGGTTAGGGTTAGGGTTAGGGTTAGGGTTAGGGTTAGGGTTAGGGTTAGGGTTAGGGTTAGGGTTAGGGTTAGGGTTAGGGTTAGGGTTAGGGTTAGGGTTAGGGTAGAT